TCTGAGTTCAGAATTAACTAATCAAGAATATGTATTTTTTTGTATATTTTTTCTTTATCAGATTTTTTATTTGTCTGAGCTCTCCTTTATGAAAGTATGTATTAAATGAGGTATCTTTGAACATATACACACATACAACAAACTCACGTATTGATCCATTGACAAAAATAATGCCAGAATCTCGCAGGAAACTAACCCTGAATTTTTCCTAGGGGAAATGATTCAGTATTGGCAAATTCAATATCCATGTGACTTTATTAAACATAAGAGCTTGTGGTAACAAGAATAACACCATCAGAGATAAGGATGGGACAAAATTATGTGGTAGCCCATACTTGAGGGAGCTTGTGAGAGCCTGTTGAGGGCCAGTTTTCCAAAAAATCTTTTGTTACACAACAGATTCAGATGCAACAATGATCTGGTTTTTCTTACAGGTCCATGTCCACATGCAGGGACAGGAAGCTCTGTTTTCTGAGAATATGCCCTTAAAAGATGTCATTGTTCACCTCACAAAACAAATGTCTGCCAAAACGCCAAGAGAAGCAAACATGGAGACACCCTTCCAGACTTCCCAAGATACTTCCTTGGAAACAGGACAAGGTAAGTTAGGTGAATCTGCACAACTGAGGAATGTTCTATGCAGATTCCTTCTTGAGTACAACTTCAGTGTCTATTTTCACAGGATATGAAGATGAACAAGATGGCAGCAACAGTTCTCTGAAAACTACTCAAGTAAACAAAAATATTACTAATCAAGGCAATCAAATAGCTTCCCTAATCATTATCCAGGAAGAGAATAGTCCTAGGCCTGAAGAGGGAGGTGTTTCTTGTGCGAACCCACAGAACTCAAGAGGAGGAGAGCAAGGCACTGCTAGATCCCAGGAAGGGTCCATAAACGGAATCTCTTTTCAAGGTGTCCCTATGGAGATGGGACCAGGGTTTATCTCACAGCCAGAGCAGTCCTCCCCTGAGTATGCCCCTACCCACCAAAGCAATGAGGGAAACTACGCACGTGAGGTACATCAGGAAGGAGCCCATGGAGTTCGAAAATCATACAAATGTGAGGAATGCCCCAAGGTCTTTAGGTATCTCTCTCACTTATTAGCACACCAGAGAAGACACAGGAATGAGAGGCCATTTGTTTGTCCTAAGTGTCAAAAAGGCTTCTTCCAGACATCAGACCTACGCGTGCATCAGATAATTCACACAGGAAAGAAGCCTTTCACATGCAGCATGTGTGAAAAGTCCTTCAGCCACAAAACCAACTTGCAGTCTCATGAGAGAATCCACACAGGAGAAAAGCCCTATACATGTCCCTTTTGTAAGACGAGCTACCGCCAGTCATCCACGTACCACCGCCATATGAGGACTCATAAGAAAATTATCCTGCCAAGTGTTCCCTCCACACCAAAAGCTTCCTAAGCTGCTGGTCGGATGTAATGTGTATAAATACATATGCAAGTATGTATATTTCTGTAGAATATAAGATATGATTTCCTGATTATGCTTTCAATTTATTGTCTTCATTAAAATGTAAGGCTAAGCAGAGCATGGAATTTATCAGTTTTGTTCACTAAAGTATTCCAAGTGGTTGGGAAAGTGGAACACTTCCAATAACCAATAAATTTCTGTTGAATAAATTAATGAATCCGTAATGTTGATATCCTTTTTTAAAAAAAGAGATGCGGCCAGCCGCAGTGGCTCACGCCTGTTAATCCCAGCACTTTGGGAGGCCAAGGCGGGCAGATCACCTAAGGGCAGGAATTTGAGACCAGCCTGGCGAGCATGGTGAAACCCTGTCTCCACTAAAAATACAAAACTCAGCAGGGTGTGATGGCACAGGACACTCTTGTAATCCCAGCTACTCGGGAGGGTGAGGCAGGAGAATTGGATGAACCAGGAGGCAGAGATTGCAGTGAGCCAAGATAGGACCATTGCACTCCAGCCTGGGCAACAAGAGCGAAACTCTCTCTCAAAACATAAAAATAAAATAAACGAATAAATAAAAAGAGATGGCCAGGCACGGTGGCTCACTCCTGTAATCCCACCACTTTGGGACGCCAAGGTGGGTGGATCACCTGAGGTCGGGAGTTCGAGACCAGCCTAACCAACATAAAGGAAGGAAGACTCCCATCTCTCTCTTTTTTTTTTAATCTAATGTATCTGTGACACACCAGCTGCCAGTCTGACTTGGCTGGGTGTTTTACGGGTCCTGCAAATAAACAATAATCCTCTGGACTCCACCCAACGCCGCACATCAGTGATTATATCCCTCCTCCTTCAGTGATTACAGCCAGACTTCACTGATGCCCAAGACCTCCCGCTGCAGGCTCTTGGGTTAAAGTCCCTGGATGAAAATGTTGGAACAAAGGCTTCTAGGACTTGTAGTCCATTACGCAGCGCGCATTGCTCTCTGGGAGCTGAAGTAGGTGGCGAGTTCTGCGCAGGTGCATATGCGATCGCCTGATAAGCCGGATTGTGGAGACAAAGTGGGTGAAAGTGAGTCCCCCGACAGGCAGACGAGGGAAACTGGGCTGTAAACTGAGGCGGCAGGTCCGAGCGGAACGCGGTGACCCAGAGCCGCGGTCTCCCGAAACGTCCCTCCGGAGCCAGGCGTTCCAGCGGCCTCTAGCAGTTGCCGTCGTCGCCATCCAGCCGCGTTGCCTTCTGGGATCTAGTGTCGGCCGGCACTGCGCAGACTCCTGGACTCCCACACGGCACTTTCTTCCAGCTCATCTGCTGTGGGGCTTCGGACGTCGTTCCCGGAGTGTTGTGTACAGTATTTGGTTTCCGCTCTTAAGCTAGGGAAGACAAGGCCTCCGTACCGGGGGAAGCAAAAAGATCATCGTACTTACCATTACAATTGCCATCCTTTATTCCACGTGAAGCTGGCTTAACCTTTGCAGTAGACAGCCATGTTTCTCTTTAGGAGATTATTTTATATTTCAAGAAGAGTGAACATTAAACTATTGAATCTTGATTATATTCAGGAGTGCCATATCCCTTTTTTTTTTTTTTTTTTTTTTTTTTTTTGGGG